GGAGGGATCCTGGGATTTGGGGTCAGTGTGGGGATTCTCAGAATTCAGAGAATTTTTGGGGATTCTCTGCTGCAGCACATCTGGGACGGGACCTGAAGCACACCTGGGACGGGATTTGGACAGGATTTGGAGCACACCTAGGATGGGACCTGGGACGGGATTTGGGGCACCCCTGGGACGGGATTTGGGGCACGGCTGGGACGGGATTTGGGGCACACCTGGGACAGGATTTGGGGCACCCCTGAGACAGGATTTGGACAGGATTTGGGGCACCCCTGGGACGGGGTTTGTGGCACCCCTGGGACGGGATTTGGGACACCCCTGGGACGGGATTTGGACAGGATTTGGGGCACCCCTGGGACGGGGTTTGGGGCACACCTGTGATGGGGTTTGGGGCACCCCTGGGACAGGATTTGGGGCACGGCTGGGACGGGATTTGGGACACCCCTGGGACGGGATTTGGGGCACCCCTGGGACGGGATTTGGACAGGATTTGGGGCACCCCTGGGACGGGGTTTGGGGCACCCCTGGGACAGGGTTTGGGGCACCCCTGGGACGGGATTTGGGACACCCCTGGGACGGGGTTTGGGGCACCCCTGGGACGGGGTTTGGAGCACCCCTGGGATGGGATTTGGGGCGCCCCTGGGACGGGGTTTGGGACGCTCCTGGGATGGGGTTTGGGGCACCCCTGGGATGGGATTTGGGACACCCCTGGGACGGGATTTGGACAGGACTTGGGGCACGGCTGGGACGGGGTTTGGGACACCCCTGGGACGGGGTTTGGACAGGATTTGGGGCACCCATGGGACGGGCTCTGTTGCACCCCTGGGATGGGGTTTGGGGCACCCCTGGGATGGGATTTGGACAGGATTTGGGACACCCCTGGGATGGGGTTTGTGACACCCCTGGGACGGGATTTGGACAGGATTTGGGGCACCCCTGGGACGGGATTTGGGGCACCCCTGGGACGGGGTCTGGGGCACCCCTGGGACGGGGTTTGGGACACCCCTGGGACGGGGTTTGGAGCACCCCTGGGACGGGGTTTGGACAGGATTTGGGGCACCCCTGGGATGGGGTTTGGGGCACCCCTGGGACGGGATTTGGACAGGATTTGGGGCACCCCTGGGACGGGGTTTGGGGCACACCTGGGACGGGGTTTGGGGCACACCTGGGACAGGATTTGGGGCACCCCTGGGACGGGGTTTGGGACACCCCTGGGACGGGGTTTGGGGCACCCCTGGGACAGGGTTTGGGACACCCCTGGGACAGGATTTGGGACACCCCTGGGACAGGATTTGGACAGGATTTGGGGCACCCCTGGGATGGGATTTGGACAGGATTTGGGACACCCCTGGGACAGGATTTGGGACACCCCTGGGACAGGATTTGGGACACCCCTGGGACGGGATTTGGACAGGATTTGGGGCACCCCTGGGATGGGATTTGGACAGGATTTGGGACACCCCTGGGACAGGATTTGGGACACCCCTGGGACGGGATTTGGGACACCCCTGGGACGGGGTTTGGGGCACCCCTGGGACGGGGTTTGGACAGGATTTGGGGCACCCATGGGACGGGGTTTGGGGCACCCCTGGGATGGGGTTTGGGACACCCCTGGGACAGGATTTGGGGCACCCCTGGGATGGGGTTTGGGGCACCCCTGGGACGGGATTTGGGGCACCCCTGGGATGGGATTTAGGACATCCCTGGGACGGGATTTGGGGCACACCTGGGACGGGATTTGGAGCACCCCTGGGACGGGATTTGGGGCACCCCTGGGATGGGATTTGGAGCACCCCTGGGACAGGATTTGGGAGACCCCTGGGACGGGGTTTGGGGCACACCTGGGACAGGGTTTGGAACACCCCTGGGACAGGGTTTGGGGCACCCCTGGGACGGGCTCTGGGGCAGGGCCGGGCGGCCGGGGCTCACCTCGGTGTAGATGGAGGGCGTGAGGAAGCAGAGCAGGCGCACGTCGTCCTCCTGGCACGCCTTCATGTCCATCATCAGGCAGGTGTGCAGCTCGCCCAGCTGCGTGGCCTGGGCGAACGACTCGTAGAGCCCCATCCTGCCCAGCGCCGCCTTGCTGGGGACACAGCGCACCTGCACAGCTGGCACGGCTGGCACAGCTGGCACAGCGCACCTGCACAGCTGGCACACAGCTGGGCACGGCTGGCACAGAACACCTGCACAGCTGGCACAGCTGGCACAGCACACCTGCACAGCTGGCACGGCTGGCACAGCGCACCTGCACAGCTGGCACAGCTGGCACAGCTGGCACAGCGCACCTGCACAGCTGGCACGGCTGGCACAGTGCACCTGCACAGCTGGCACACGGCTGGCACAGCTGGGCACAGCTGGCACAGTGCACCTGCACAGCTGGCACAGCTGGCACAGCGCACCTGCACAGCTGGCACAGCGCACCTGCACAGCTGGCACACAGCTGGGCACGGCTGGCACAGCTGGCACACACACAGGAGGGCGGGGTCCAGGTGAGGGGGNGGACAGGATTTGGGACACCCCTGGGACAGGATTTGGGACACCCCTGGGACGGGATTTGGGACACCCCTGGGACGGGGTTTGGGGCACCCCTGGGACGGGGTTTGGACAGGATTTGGGGCACCCATGGGACGGGGTTTGGGGCACCCCTGGGATGGGGTTTGGGACACCCCTGGGACAGGATTTGGGGCACCCCTGGGATGGGGTTTGGGGCACCCCTGGGACGGGATTTGGGGCACCCCTGGGATGGGATTTAGGACATCCCTGGGACGGGATTTGGGGCACACCTGGGACGGGATTTGGAGCACCCCTGGGACGGGATTTGGGGCACCCCTGGGATGGGATTTGGAGCACCCCTGGGACAGGATTTGGGAGACCCCTGGGACGGGGTTTGGGGCACACCTGGGACAGGGTTTGGAACACCCCTGGGACAGGGTTTGGGGCACCCCTGGGACGGGCTCTGGGGCAGGGCCGGGCGGCCGGGGCTCACCTCGGTGTAGATGGAGGGCGTGAGGAAGCAGAGCAGGCGCACGTCGTCCTCCTGGCACGCCTTCATGTCCATCATCAGGCAGGTGTGCAGCTCGCCCAGCTGCGTGGCCTGGGCGAACGACTCGTACAGCCCCATCCTGCCCAGCGCCGCCTTGCTGGGGACACAGCGCACCTGCACAGCTGGCACACAGCTGGGCACGGCTGGCACAGCGCACCTGCACAGCTGGCACACGGCTGGGCACGGCTGGCACAGCGCACCTGCACAGCTGGCACAGCGCACCTGCACAGCTGGCACACAGCTGGGCACGGCTGGCACAGCGCACCTGCACAGCTGGCACAGCTGGCACAGCGCACCTGCACAGCTGGCACAGCGCACCTGCACAGCTGGCACACAGCTGGGCACGGCTGGCACAGCTGGCACACACACAGGAGGGCGGGGTCCAGGTGAGGGGGAGGTGCCCAGGTAAGGGGGAGGAGCCACAGAAGGGAGGGAGGAGCCACAGGAGGGTGGGGCTTAGGTGAGGGCAGTGCCCAGGTAAGGGCGGGGCCCAGGTGAGGGGTGCCCAGGTGAGGGGTACCCAGGTGAGGGGTACCCAGGTAAGGGCCGGGCCCAGGTGAGCGGTGCCCAGGTGAGCGGTGCCCAGGTGAGGGGTGCCCAGGTGAGGGGTGCCCAGGTGAGCGGTGCCCAGGTGAGGGGTACCCAGGTGAGGGGTACCCAGGTAAGGGCGGGGCCCAGGTGAGGGGTGCCCAGGTGAGGGGTGCCCAGGTGAGGGCGGGGCCCAGGTAAGGGCGGTGCCCAGGTGAGGGCGGTGCCCAGGTGAGAGGTACCCAGGTGAGAGGTACCCAGGTGAGGGCGGTGCCCAGGTGAGGGGTGCCCAGGTGAGGGCGGTGCCCAGGTGAGAAGTGCCCAGGTGAGAGGTACCCAGATGAGGGGTACCCAGGTGAGGGCAGTGCCCAGGTGAGGGCGGTGCCCAGGTGAGGGGTACCCAGGTGAGGGGTACCCAGGTAAGGGCGGGGCCCAGGTGAGCGGTGCCCAGGTGAGGGCGGTGCCCAGGTAAGGGCGGGGCCCAGGTGAGCGGTGCCCAGGTGAGGGCGGTGCCCAGGTAAGGGCGGTGCCCAGGTAAGCGGTGCCCAGGTGAGGGCGGTGCCCAAGTAAGGGTGGGGCCCAGGTGAGAGGTACCCAGGTGAGGGGTACCCAGGTGAGGGTGGTGCCCAGGTGAGGGTGGTGCCCAGGTGAGGGAGTACCCAGGTGAGAGGTACCCAGGTGAGGGCAGTGCCCAGGTGAGGGCCGTGCCCAGGTGAGGGCGGTGCCCAGGTGAGGGCGGTGCCCAGGTGAGGGGTGCCCAGGTAAGGGCCGTGCCCAGGTGAGGGCAGTGCCCAGGTAAGGGCCGTGCCCAGGTGAGGGCGGTGCCCAGGTGAGGGCCGTGCCCAGGTGAGGGGTACCCAGGTGAGGGCCGTGCCCAGGTGAGGGGTACCCAGGTGAGGGGTGCCCAGGTGAGGGCCGTGCCCCGTGCCCACCTGGCCCGCAGGTAGTAGAGCAGGTGGTAGCCGATCTTGGGCTGCTTCTGGTAGAGCTCGGAGAGCAGGTCCAGCAGCAGCGAGAAGCCGCTGTTGTCCTCCTGCATCTGGCACAGGTTCCTTGGGAAGGGCGGGAATGTCGGGAATGTCGGCGGGATAACGGCCCCCGGCGCCGCCCGCTGCCCCCATCCCAAAATCCCAAAAGAGAATCCCTGCTTTCCCCAAAAACACGGCAGAGGGAAGCGGGAAACTCTGTGGGATTCTGGGATGGGCACGGGGCAGCCGAGGCCGGAATTCCCGAGGCTGGAATTCCCAAGGCTCAGAATTCCCAAGGCTGGAATTCCCGAGGCTGGAATTCCTAAGACCTGGAATTCCCGAGGCTGGAATTCCCCAGGCTCAGAATTCCCAAGCCTGGAATTCCCAAGCCCAGAATTCCTGAAGCCCAGAATTCCCAAGGCTGGAATTCCCAAGGCTGGAATTCCCGAGGCTGGAATTCCCGAGGATTTTGGGGCCCTACCGGAAGATCAGGTAAAGCGGCTTCCCCACGGACTCCTCCAGGGACCTGCGGACAGACGGACACACTGAGCTCTGGGATTTCCTGGGAATGGCACAGGAACAGCCCTGGGGAACAGCCCTGGATCCCTGTGGATTTCCCCAGGAACAAGAACAGCCCTGGATCCCTGTGGATTTCCCGGGAATGGGAACAGCCCTGGATCCCTGTGGATTTCCCAGGACCAGCCCTGGATCCCTCTGGGTTTTTCTGGGAATGGGAACAGCCCTGGATCCCTCTGGGTTTTTCTGGGAATGCAACCAGCCCTGGATCCCTGTGGATTTCCCAGGACCAGCCCTGGATCCCTCTGGGTTTTTCTGGGAATGGGAACAGCCCTGGATCCCTGTGGGTTTTCCTGGGAATGGGAACAGCCCTGGATCCCTCTGGGTTTTCCTGGGAATGGGAACAGCCCTGGATCCCTCTGGGTTTTCCTGGGAATGGGACCAGCCCTGGCTCCCTCTGGGTTTTCCTGGGAATGGGAACAGCCCTGGATCCCTCTGGGTTT